TTTGGAACCAGATCTGTCCCGGAAAAGTCAACATCTTAGTACGGAGAGCAAGGTTACAGAGGATGCCCACAAAGCTCAACGTGGATAGAAATGACGTTCATCTTCAATCGACACTTTGCCCGCTTTGTAACAGTAGAGATGAGTCGGAGATACATCTGTTCATGGAGTGCTCGACCGCGATTCAAATTCATTCCATACTTCACATGTGGTGGGACAAAATCCAAATTGCTTTCAACTCTATTGAAACATTGTTTCAAATAGACAACAACACTACTATCCCTCAAAATATAAAAAACACTGTTTTTGTTGTGCTCATGGCCTTTACGTGGGTTATTTGGAGATACAAGAATGATCACACATTCAACAATGTCGTGAGGAACAGTCAAGATCTGGCGAGTGAGGTGAAACTTTTGGATTTCAATTAGATCAAATTTAGATGTAAAAAAGGAAAATTGTTGAATTGGCAGACTTTGTGCAATTGTCCGACTAGAGAATGTTTGAACTTGTTATAATTCTGGCTTCTAGTTAGTCTGGTTTCTAATTAAATCTTCTTGTTGTTCAAAAAAAAAAAAACCAAGCATTTTAGGGAATCCATGCTTGTTTTCATGTGTCGTATACAACTTGGTGGACGTCGTTAACCGTAGACTTGCGTAAATATCGGTCACAATAAAGGATAATCAAAACTTCAGCAAATTTGTAAAGACATTCCCGTGCTGTTCTCTCTGATATCCTCAAATACTCTTCCCATGAGTCTGGTCTCATGCTGAATTCTAGTTGACAAATGGCCGCTGTATATTTTTGAATTGGAGAAAATCTTGTCTGCCTCTCACGTCTTACTTCGTTAAAAAATATGGAAATTGATTATTCACATGATCAACAATGCGTAGGAATATTAATTTTCTCATCAGGAATCGACGTCTAAATTTTTTAGCTTAGACGACATAATCAACAAAGTAGTATTGTACAAGATGGTTGTTCCAAACCGCACAATTTTCTATGAAGGTCATTGTCTGATTTTTTAACGCGAACTTTCAACTTTGTTTTCTTGTAGATATATAAGCGAGTGTTATTCACATAACGTTCCCGATAAACTCTGATTCATGTAAAGCCAATGTATCTGATGAAGTCGAAGATGATAATGACATTTTGAAGTTCATATACAAAGTATTTTGGTGTTTGTGTTGTGATTTAAATAGAAATATTATGTTTATTTATAATAGAGAACAAAATTATTTCAAATTTTGAAGGCAACAAAAGGAAAAAGCATTCGGCGAATACTTGTTGCGCGCAACGCGCGTACCGAGGTTTTTTCATTTCAACACCGCAGTGGCACCTCAACTCACGTGGTGTTGGGTATATAGATACCCACCGGCCTTATTGTTGCTGTTATAGTCGTATACTTATCTAGTTCAAACAAACGTATTTTTAAGTTAAGTACGTACTCGGATATACTTTCTCCGTCCCATATTAATAGTCAATGTTTCATTTTTGGTTTGTCTTGAAATCATAGCCCATTTCTATAAATAAATATATTTTTTTACCAAAATACCCCTCATTATTAATTAACCTATAATGGAATTAAATGCAACAAAATGATGAAATTAAATGAAACAAAATGGTACAATTGTCATTTTCATTTAATAAAGTTAGTAGTAATTAATTTTTTTTTAAATCTGTGTGTAAAGTTAGTAGTAATTAATTTTTTTTAAATCTGTGTGTTTTTTATCTGTGGATAATAATTTTGGGACGGAGAAAGTATATGTTTGTATTTATCATAAAGATTTAAATATTTGCTTACCCCGTCAATAGAACTTAGACATCATTCCTATCAAACGTTAACCGAACCATTTCTACATTCGTCTCTCATATATGTTGGATCACAAAAAAGCTGTTTCCATTTTTTGAAGTATTAACATTGAATTTATAGGTCTTAATTAATTATTAGACATTTGAAAGTTTTTGTGTCTATTAAAACAAAATTAGTTTTAGTTAATCAATAAAACAAATAGTACTATAATATTTTGGATGTGAGAGAGAGAGAGGAGAGAGAGAGAGAGAGAGAGAGAGAGAGAGAGAGAGAGAGAGAGAGAGAGAGAGCGAGTAGAGAGAGGAGAAGAGAGAGAGGAGAGAGAGAGAGAGAGAGAGAGAGACTTGACGGTAACGAATACTACTTGGACATACCAACAACTCCAAACGGCAACAACCTAACCATCAATTAGTAGTGTCTCTTTTTGCCACCCCACAACTCCAACACACCAAGAAACTAAAAAGAATTATCGGGAATCAATTTTTTGAAGTAATTAATTATGGGAAAAGGTATAAATTGAAGTCATATATTTTGGTTAACATATTGAATCGATTAAAGTTTGAAATTTTGGTAGTTAAATAGTCATCCAAAAGAGTACCTAAGTTTGTCAAATTTAATACAAAACACAATGGTGACGGCCACAACCACCCGTGTTATAATCCTAACATTTCACTATTTGATCTATAAACTTGTTTGATTCAATTATCCAAACTCATCTTAAATTTCTATTTTAATACCTCTATAACAAAACCATAAGCGACAACTGTCCCCTTTGGCTTTTGTTCAAGTAATCAAATCAACCATATACATGTAAGTCGATCCCGTAAATGGACTTTTTATATTTTTTTTTCTGATGACTTCTCTGAACCAATAGAATGTGCTAATGACTAATGTTTATTACCTTGATTTTTTTTGAAAAATATAATGAAATTTAATATTCTCTGTCAAACCTACCATAAGAGTTATTATAATTATTTTGACGAGGTACCTGAGATACAATGGGTTTCCAAGTTGGCCACTACTCCTAACACACCAATCAAAAGATCATAAAAAAAAAAAAAAAAAAAAAATCCATTAAATCCCACCAACTATTAGAAACTTTAAGTATGGGAGAAAACGCTACATATATAGAAGCTGGAAATTGCGTAGGAAAGAAAAAGATTTCCCAAACGGGAATCAAGGTTAACTGCAATGGTGGCGAGAAACCAACATTTGGTTCCCATAACATGGGGATCATCAACAAAGTTCAGTATACTTCAGGTTTTTGTTGCACTTCTTTTTGCTGTGTTTTTCATCGGAGCAGTTTATATGGCGGGAGAGTACGTCACATTTAACATGATTCCGGCGTCAGTTGATGATATGTTTTCAGGCGATTCATTGTCAGAGTGCAATTTATTTTCTGGGAAATGGGTGTTTGATAACACGTCTTACCCTCTTTACAAAGAGAAAGAATGCAAATTCATGTCGGATCAATTGGCCTGCAACAAGTTTGGAAGGGAGGATTTGAGCTATCAGAACTGGAGATGGCAACCTCACCATTGTGACCTTCCAAGGTCCTCTCTCTCTCTCTCTCTCTCTCTCTCTCTCTCTCTCTCTCTCTTCAAATAATCTAGGAGGCTAGTTTAGTAAATCGGGTACAGATTTTTACATTGAGTTCATATAAATTTTTTAAAGATCTTTCTAATTTACTACAAAAGATGGAAGGGGAACACACTTCCATGCTAGCCTCACTAACTCTGTCACTGGAGTTCAATTCGAAATTGGTCAAATAGTTGAAATTTAAAGTTGTTGCGTTGAACTCTTTTGCTGTCGGATTAATAAAAATGCTTCATCGATAAACACAAGGTAGAATCTTTTCACCTTTAGTTTATTAGTCTTCAAATGTGTCCTGTTTTCACTGTAGAAGTGAGGTTAATTAACGCCAAAGTTAGATCAATTCTTTCTTTTGTAAATTATTATTTATTTCAAAGTAGATATTATGGTCACCGCAGGTTGAGACTTTGAATTCATGAAACAAGATATGGTTCAAGCAGGTAAGTAAACAGTATAGAACATTAATGTAAATAGTGAGCGTATATCAGCTGTTCCATGTTCAAGTACGGTCTAAAATAGTTTGATATGATCTTTCTAACTTTTTCTCGCTCTAGAAGCTGCAACGTGTTGATTTTGATGTTTTCATGTAAGGTTCAATGCAACAAGATTGTTGGAGAGGCTAAGGAATAAGAGGATGGTGTTTGTAGGGGATTCTTTAAATAGAGGCCAATGGGTTTCAATGGTTTGCCTTTTAGATTCATCCATCCAGGATCCAAACCTCAAATTCATGAACTACAATGGTTCTAATTTAATCTCCTTCAAAGCCGTGGTACGTAAGAAATTTAACATTATCTTTTTATATATTGCACTCGTCCAAAAAAGCTTTGCATGCACGTTGAATCATAATCAATATTATTCGTGTTTATTGATGATAAAGGAATGCCTCGGGTGAGAGGTTTGGGAAATCAAGCTAACATTTCTAACGTCTATTAACATTTACTTTCAGGAGGCTATTTTTTTTTTGAAAGGCATAATTAATTAAAATTTGTGTAGTTACTCATGTATATTAGTTCTAAAAATTGTCAATATTCCTTAATTTTGTGTGAATATTGTATGAAATGAAGGGGTACAATGCATCGATCGAGTTCTATTGGGCACCATTGTTAGTCGAGTCTAACTCGGATGATCCAGTGAACCATAAGCTACCAGAAAGGATTGTTCGATCTCAATCTATTGAAAAACATGCTAGGTTTTGGACTGATGCTGATATACTGGTATTCAATTCCTATCTTTGGTGGAGAAGACCCCATATCAAAGTCTTGTAAGTTATTAGTCAATCTAGAAATTAATTCTAGGTCTATTAAATAGTTACTTTACATAAAGTCTTCAAGGTTGGAGAAAGAATAATAAGTTGTTCTTTAATTTACATACAATTAATTTATATGTAGCTAACATATGTAACGTAAAGGCTGGATTTGAAATTTAATGTTTAATAGGTGGGGTTCGTTTGAAGATAAAAATGGGATATATAAGGAAGTGGAAATGCTTCGTAGCTATGAAATGGCTTTAAAGACATGGTCGGATTGGTTGGAGATTCAAGTTGATCGAGCCAAGACTCAGTTGTTCTTTATTAGCATGTCACCTACTCATGAAAGGTAACAATTTAATCCAATTTTGTTCAACCTTTACCATCATTATATGTCATATACATATATTACGCCACTGGTCCTGTGGTTCAACTATTTTAATCCAAAGAAACGTAAGGAGATGGAATCGGATACATTAGATATATATTTAACATGAATATATATCTATATATATATATATCGATATATATATATATATATATATATATATATATATATATATATATATATATATTAGGTTTAGGTTCTATAGAAAACAAAAAAAACTTTAAAAAACCCTAAAAATCATAAAAATACATAAAAATACATAAAAAAAATATTTAGAGATCACAAAACTTTTTTTTTGAATTTTTTTTATCAAAAATCGCAGCTTTTAACATAAAATCGTTGAAAATTTTTTTTAGAAAAAAAAAAAAATTGATTTTTATTTTTTTTATTTTTCAGCGAAATTGTCAAAAAGGCTGCGATTTTTTGATAAAAAAATTCAGAATTTTTTTTTGTAATGTCTAGGTATTTTTGTATACATTTTTATGATTTTTACGGTTTTTTTATTTAGGGTTTTTTTGTTTTCCAAATAACCATTGCCTATATATATATATATATATATATTATATATAATATTATATATATATATATATATATATATATATATATAGAGAGAGAGAGAGAGAGAGGTTATTTCAATTGAGAAAATAAAAAAGGTTGAGAATGGGGAAATCATTCTCACCCATTCATTTATTTTTGCCGCAAAAGCCTCCATCGTACCGGCGGAAATATGAAAGAAATACACATGTGTTTTCCAACAAAACATGTTTCTTTAAACTATGCTAATAATTACCTTAATATATATCTTAAAACATAGTTTTATTCGGTTTTTTAATTTTTAAGGAGCTATTTTTATCGAAAAATGATTTTAAATATATCAAAATTCATAATTTTTTATTCTCTACAAATAGTCATCGATATTGATATAGTTTTAAGATAAATTAAAATTTTTATTTTTTTATAGTTTCAGCTATCGTTATTCATAGGTGAACAGAACTGCATCAGATTTTTACTATAGTACATCCGTTATTCACTTATGAACAAAAAAATATTTTTAATTTTTTTTACAGTTTAAGTATCATTTATTAGGGGTGGCAAATCGTGCTATCGTTTCGTGTTTCTGTCTAACACGACACGACACGAAAAAGTTTTATGTAACATGAACACGACACGACACGATGTCGTGTTTTTTTTAACCCCCCACGAAAACGAACGAATTAAAAAACGACAAACACGATACGACACGACAAATATAACATATACTAAAAACTAGTTTATTTAATGAAACGCTTTATCAAATATAACACGATAAACACGACAAACACGAAAAACACGATAGACTGTTAAATCGTGTCAATTTCGTGTCGAATTCTGAACACGAATACGACACGACACGACATCGTGTTTTTTACAGTTAACACGAACACGACACGAACACGAATTCAATTTTTAGTTTTGTCCCAATATCGTTTCGTGTCGTGTATTTTTGTCGTGTCGTGTCATAAATTGCCACTCCTATCATTTATACTACTTATTCATATATGAATAACAAATTAACTGTAACAAAAATCTGATAAATGTTTTATTCATATATGAATATAAAATATGACGACAACTCATACACGTTTTATTCATATATAAATATAATATACGAACAAAAGATGATGTAAAAAATATATTTTAAGTAAGAAAGCTTTATTACATGTTATATTTATATATGAACGATACTCAAACTATAAAAAAAAAAAGTTAAGCATACGTTTTATTCATAAGTGAATAACGAATGTACTGTTCACTTATGAATAACAAGAGCTGAAACTCTAAAAAAATAATTTTTTTATTTGATCTTAAAACTATATCAATATAGATGTCTATTTATAGAGAATAAAAAATTATGAATTTTGATATATTTAAAATAATTTTTCGATAAAAATAGCTTTCTAAAAATCAAAAAAAAAAAAAAAGTATGTTTTTGGGTATATTAAGATAATGATTAGCATAGTTTAAGGAAACATGTTTGGTTGGAAAACACATGTGTATCCGTTATCCATTTCCGCCTGTACGTTTAAGTGTTTTACGACAAAATAAATGTGTGGCTGAGAATGATTCCCTCATTCTCAACATTTTTTTTTCTCAATTGAACCCTCATTTCTCTTTTTTTTTTTCTCTCTCTCTCTCTCTCTATATATATATATATATATATATATATATATATATATATATATATATATATAGATATATATATATATATATATATATATATATATATATATATATCATAGGAGGGAGAACTCAAATAGTCAATACCTAAGAATTTCTCTATAATTTATTTAAAAACAACAACACCAAATGTGTATAAAAATAGACTAACGGGATCTATTAATTGCAATTTCAAAGCAAGGTTTTTATTTAAGTTTAATATATCTCCTCTCACTAAGATTTTCATCTATGATAATTTAATATTTATAATGTGTTGTAGTTATGAATGAGTCTTTTAGTCGGAAAATTGAATCGGTTGGAACCGGTTAGTTGTATTTGGTCCGGTTCCTGGTCATCTCAATCCATCATTTTTGGTTTTTGATTCGTTCGGTGACGGTCCGGTGCTAGCCGGTTCCGACACCAAACACCTTCTTAGATAACACACTCCTTAGTAGAAATGAACCGAAATTGGAACCGGAACCGGTTGATATCGTTTAGTGGTATTCAGTTCTGTTCTCGGTTCCCGTTCGCTTTTTAATTTGTTTTCGATTATTCTGAATCTGGTTCTTGTTCGATTTGGTTTGCAAAACCGGTTACATCCTATTTGTAGTGAATAAAATGTGATCTAAAAGTGAGAAAGAAAGTTGATATGGAGTTATTTTAAAAAGCAATTATTCCTTATATATGTGACCATAATGCAACCCTTCAATCCTTTTCATAAATGTAGGGCCGAGGAGTGGGGTGCATCCAATGACCAAAATTGTTACAACGAAACAAAATTGATTACAAAAGAAGGATATGCAGGTAGCGGAACAGATCCTAAAATGATGAAAATAGTTGAAAATTCCATTGATGAATTGAAAAGTAGAGGTTTGAAAGTTGAAATCATCAACATAACTCAACTTTCAGAATACAGGAAAGAAGGACACCCATCAACTTATAGAAAACAATGGGAGACACTTAGTGAAGAACAATTATCAAACCCTAGTAGCTATTCAGATTGTATACATTGGTGTCTTCCTGGTGTGCCTGATGTGTGGAATGAGCTTCTTTATGCTTATATATTTCGACAATAAAAAATCTCAAAAATTGTCGTCAAGACTCCACTTGTTTGAATGTTAACTTACAATTTTTTTGGAAGTGTAAAAGTTTATATATTGCCAAAGTATATACGACTTATACTAATGACTACAATGTGGTTGCTAGTATAAAAGTGTACAAAACATATCATATGTGGGAGATCAAATGGTAATTTTTTTAACAAGTAGAATACAATTAGATCCTGTCTATTGTATAAATTACAAGTATTTGATCATTAGCAACTACAATCCATCTATTTTATTGTAGCACTCATAGTTGTAAATAGGTAACTGCTCTAACTTCTATTGTTATTTATTTCATCGGCTAAACTCCCTTAAGTACCTACCTTCACTAGCTAATTAGCTAGGTAGTGAACCTAATAAGCTGTCTACTTAACAACCATCAGTAGCTCCTTCATTGTGTGACACGTCTATTGAATCCTTCCATGCATTATCTCCTGAAGCTTCTTAAGAAAAACCAAATTAATTACCATATAGCAACCTCCACATTTTTTGAGTGTGTCCTCCCTTTCTTGATCCTCCAGTTGTAAAATAACCTACTAGTATGGCCATATGATCATTTTGTAATGTTAATTATATGTCAAGTACAGTTATATATTGTACCAAAATTTTCTAGAATAACATTTTAGTCCCTTGATGTTAATACATATGATATAATAGATATGACATTAGTCTATGACTAGATAGACTAAATATGTGTGTTGACTTTCATATAAGGTGTTAAACTGATTTATTAATCACATAATTATGAAGGGAACGCATGAGGGAATTTCTAAGGGTTCATCTCATTCAAAATAAATATTTTCTATATAAACACCATAATCTTGTATGCAAAATTCATCTATCGGGATCATTGCTAGAAACTGGACTTTTAGCAAAGGATTCAAAACCCTAGCTAAATCAACAACAAATTAGTGACAAAAACTATATTAAGTGATAAATAATAAAACATAAAATTTAGAGAGGAATTAATGATGGTTTAGCAAGGAATTAGTGACTATGGTAACCCCTTGCTAATTTCTTCTCGAAAATAAACCATAGGTCAGTCGTTATTGTAATTTCTCGCTTGCCATTTTCATTCCACCCCGATGCCTCCCTCCCAAATAGCTATATTCTTAACCTAGTTTCATTTGGCACCCCCACCCTGAACAATGACTTAAGCCTTCCCCAACACCATCATCGTCGATTCCATCCGCCCATGCCCCCATTGTTGTTGATTCCGACCAGCTCTACTGTAACACCGTAAGTTTTCAAACAGATTTTTCATTTTAAAATCGCATACTTTTCATAACATATTGTATGGAAATCTCGTTTATTCAAATTACAAAACACAGCTCCATTAAAAATCAAGGATCCTCAAAACATAACTCTTTCTCTGGTGTGTACAATCAAGCCGGTGCCTTCCCGCGATCCTCTGAGATACATGAAACACATAACACATAACACGGTAAGCACGAAGCTTAGTGAGTTCCCCAAAATACCACATTAACACATATTAGCCACTCGAGGCTATAACTCTGTGGACCCTCTAGTCCTAACTCTGTGGACCCTCTGGTCCTAACTCTGTGAACCTTCCGGTTCTAACTCTGTAAACTCTGGAACATACACAACATAAATCACATAGAAATAATGCAGTGCATCACAATCACATAAGTAGCATACAAGATACTCTGTCATATAACTCTAATTACCACTCTAGGTAAAGTATAGTGAGAAGACTCACCTGATGATCAACCCCTATAAACGCTGTTGCTACGCCCCGACCCCTAACTCTGTGCCAAACCCAAAATTATCCTACTTAGAAACTCGACCCAAACTCTCACTCGTTGGGTCTAAAGGTAGACCACCAACCAGTCCATCAATGACCTATATCCATTGGGCCCACCAAGGCCCAATAATAAATTGGCCCACACAAGGCCCAATTCCCAAACAAAAGGCAAGCCCAACTCAAGGGCCCAAAGCACATACCTATGATTCTCTGATCCAAGGCTCTATTGCGTGAAGCCCGAACCCCAGGCCCAACACATCACTTAGCCCAAAAGCCCACAGAGGAGTTACGCGGGGCGTACCTCTTTTGGTACGCTCAGCGTACTCAAGCATGCACAATTCTGATCGGGGACCTCAGCCCAGTACGTGGGGCGTACTAGAAGTACGCTGGGCGTACTCTCAGTTTTGCTTAAACTAATTTCTGGGTCTTAACCCGATAAGACCTTAACTCATCTCTTGGATCTGGACTTCCTAACATCTCCTACTCCATTAAGTTTACGACTTTAAGCCTTTGCATGGCTGAAGAAGTCACAAACACACAAAACACTTATTCTCTTTACCCATTAAGCTCTTATCTCATGCATAACTTGGTTCCAACACCCAAGGTCTCATTTTTATGATATTACACCACTAATAAGCTCAAAAGGGGAGGGTCTTAGTCTCTGGAGTTCAGGATCTCATCAAGTCTCCACCTTTTTGGGACAAAACCCTAAAATACCCCATTAACATACTTAAAACAAAAGAGAGGTAAAGTTTGAAGCTTTATACCTCAAAAAGAAGCTCCCAACTCAGATATGCTCGGATCTAGAAGCTTGGACTCCAACTCCTTCTCCTTCAAGGCTTATACTTCTCCTCAAGGGCACACAAAGCTCTCAAAAGCTCTTAAATACACATACAAGCTCCAAGAATGAAGGACTAGGGTTTTGGAGGGTTTGCTCTCTGAGAAAGGTGGCCAGGAATGAGGCCATCTCATTCTTTATATAGGGTCACCTCAAATATTAGGGTTTACCTTCTGTGCCTAGTACGCCCAACGTACTAGGTGGCTCTTGCTTAAGGAATACGCGCATTTGTACGCTAAGCGTACGCATACGTACGCCCAGCGTACTTCGCTGCCACACTTCTCCACTTTAGGGACTCATCTTGCCAAATCTTCAAACTTCCATAGCTTCTTTGATATAACTCCGATTCCAAAGATCCTCATACCTACGGGAAGGTGATGAGATGCCTTACGATTCCAGCAACTCGCCACAACCCGAGACTTCCTCATGCCTGGTTCGTGGCCCACGAACCCTAATCATGGACAATCCGAATCAGGATTTTACAATTCTCCCCCACTTAATTAGATTTCGCCCTCGAAATCGCTTCTTATCAACACTCAGATTGAAACCAAAAAACCCAAGAAGCACCAATAAACAGGACCGCATATCCCACCACTATCTTTCCATGGATGTCTGAGTCCAAACAGGAACTCCCAAATCCAGAACCAAAATCGAACACTCTGCCGCTAAGATACCCCTTTCTGACCTTCCCAAAATCGGAAACTCTAGTCGCCTGGCCCGCCGCCAGACCGCCCACTCATGCTATCACCATGATAGTCGCCCCTTGAACCTCAAACCCTGATAACTCACTGCTCCTCTGATTTCACAAGACAAAATTCAACAATCGACTATCGATCACTCATACCAATGTACCAAACAATCTGGATCACGCCTCATGGAACGGAAGGGTTCACATCCCACCAGGGCTCATCCACTGAACTGCTATACTAACCCATCCGAACAGTGAATTCTCACACTCTGCCCTCAGACACAAGAGAATAATCATGCTCGCTCAGAAGTGTCCTCAGACATAAAAACAACCATAAGCCTCAGCTCCATTTCACATACCCCTTTTTAACATTTTGCACTAGGTCTGAACTCGACCCAACCGTTGAACCTCCAAGTTCCATTGCATTATCTCAACCGTCTCAATGGTTCCCTTCTCACAATAACTACCTCAGCCCATTGTGACACACAAGTCATGAAGTTCGCCTTACCCCAAGCGAATGCTACACTCCCAACTGAAGGTCGACTCAGCCCCGACCTATGTCGTTCACTGCTCATAGTTCCATGCATCTCGCGGTACTTCTCGTACCCGAGTTCTGACCTACACAGGTCTAAGACATCAGATAAACAATACCCCTCAATATGGAATCCATCTCTGAATCCGGCATCTCATTCCACCTACTCAATACACCACTAGAATCAAACTCAACTCGAGAGTCTGGTCTGGCACAAAATTGGAACCACTCATGCCAACGAACACTCAACTCGTGACCCATGACCCGCAACCCATGCGTACCTCACTGATTCACTTCCCTTGGCCATGAAAACCACTACTCCATTCGGAATATAACGACTTCCGACAAACATGGAGACCCCAGTCCCGCCCCTGGTTCGACCCAGGCTTCCACAAGTCAAATATTAGGGCTACCTAAGCCTAAAACTCTTTTGCGTCAAGCTCTGATCAGAGAGCACTTCATCACAACATTCTCTCGCTGACTAGTGGGTACTACAGCTCCATGTAGTATCACAACGACCTTTCACTAAATAGTGAGTACTACGGCTCCCCGTAGCATCACCACACCCCTCACTGAATAGTGAGTACTACGGCTCCCCGTAACATCACCACAACCTCTCGCTGAATAGTGAGTACTACGGCTCCCCGTAGCATCACCATAACCTCTCACTGAATAGTGAGTACTACGGCTCCCCGTAGCATCACCACAACCTCTCACTGAATACTGAGTACTACGGCTCCCCGTAGCATCACCACAACCTCTCGCTGAATAGTAAGTACTACGGCTCCCCGTAGCATCACCACAACCTCTCACTGAATAGTGAGTACTACGGCTCCCCGTAGCATCACCACACCTCTCTGCACTGACTCATTGAAACTGCAGCTCCCCGCAGTCTTACCGTACTTACCCTTACCACTTCACAATCTCATCCTCAGGTTGACACCATACTGCGATCATTAACTCATGCTCTGCGGCCCAGCATAGATAGGTACACACACACCCATCCGGGCTAAGCATCACTACTTCGGACGACCACCGTCGTGACAAAACCTCTTTTTCTCGCTGCAATTCACATTCTCAAATAAATCCATTTGATGTCAATTGGCTGAAGGGCCCCCACCGGAACCATAGACACTTGATACACCACTCG